GCACAGGAAAACCCCAGCAGGATTGGGAAAATATGCACTGAGAGCTTGGAAACCAGTTGTGATACCAAGAACAAAGGGAAGTAAAATGAAACTGATGTAGGATAAAAGAAACAAAAATAGGAGGAAGGTCGTGAAATCATAACCCAAACCTGCGTCTTTTGAAAGGAAAGAAACTGCAACACCCAGGACCCAGAATCCAGTCAGTGTCATTGAAGACGATCCCTTAATAACACCCTTGTGGCTAAATTTAGGCTCCTTCCCTTGAAGATCCATCACACTTAAAATTCTTTGGGAATGTTGACAGTGCATGCAGTGGCTTACTGGAGACAAGAACGAGCTAGAGCCTGCTCCTAACACAGGTCTTGCTTTATCTTGGTGATAACTATCCAGCAGAAAAATGCGAAAATGAAGTATGAAAAGTAAAGCCACATTAATATGCTATACTGTAAAAAGCTCAAATCCACAACTTTGGACATTGACAAACTTATGGAAAACCCACTAGTATAATGGACTACTGGACTATATTGGGAGATTCTGCTGAATTCAATCACCTACAATATTTAAATTACAATGGGATGCCCTTGTTTGATAAAACTAACCAAAAAAGTGGGATAGAAATGAGCAACCCTTTTGTATCTGTATACTCAAAATAGTTAGGATAGATATACAGCTCCATTCTCTTAATTCAAAGAATAGAGAGGATTGTTATAATAGTGTTTGAGACAGGATATCATGTGTGCATCTTATACAGTGAAAGCCACTAAGATAACAATATGCAATGTATTAATTATTATTTTCTTTCGGAAGCAGGGATTGAACTCAGGCCCTTGTAATAGCCAGGGAAGCGCTTATTCCACTGAGCCATTTCCCCACCCCACAATGTATTAATTATTGAAAATGTGCCAGTAATTGGTTGTGAAACTGTCTCATTGATATTTGTTTCTCAATAAAATTATTAAAAAATAAAAATAAATAGGTAAGAAATAATAAAAAGATAAAGTAACAGGGGGAGAGAATCATAATAATGTTTTAATTACCAAAGAGAAATGCCCATACTGAGGAATGGACACATCATTGGCCGATGTGGACCTTCTTTCCCCAGGGCTTCCACCCTTTCAACAAAAATGTTAATGTCTCTTCCAGGAAATGTGTGTCATTTCCTTGAACACTTACACTCCACTCTTGAGAATGTTATAAAATTTCTGCCTTTTAAATTTTGTCTCTTTGCATGCTGAAATTTCAGAATTAGCATCCTCAAAATCTTTTGCCATCACTGGTGTCAGTGAGCCCGCAGACCTGTTCTACAGAAGCCTGGGTTAGGTTTCTTATGTCAGACTCAAGGACCTCCTCAAGCCCAGCCTGGTATAGTGAATAAGGTAATGGATAGATGCCAACCAAAGGAGGTCAAGGTGTTGCAAACAGCAGTCAGTGACAAGCAAGTTTAACAATCAGCAGCAGTGCGAGAAAAGCTAAAATACAGTATCTCAGACAAAAAGTAAAATGTCTTGAAAAAGCATCAGAAAGAACAACATACAATAATTTGTAGAGCTGCAAAATATAGACCTGACAGACAAAAAAAGTAACTTTAGCAATAACAATAATGTATTCCCTCACTTATTGGTTTATCACAGAGTAAAATAGGCAAAAGAAAGAATCCTGGATCAAATAGGAGAATTTCCTGGGTTTATTCTACACACAGGCTCCAGTTTGAAAAAAGGTATAATCAAGAAATTTCTTGTAACATAGAAACCTTTCTCTTTGAGACATACAGCATAACAAATATATCTTTACTTTTAGCATATCTTTATAATTAACCAAGGAATACTGATCAAAGACATCAATTTTTTAAAAAAGAAATAAAACAGTGTTATGAAGGGCAAGGTCCTTAGGCTATAAACAATGGCAGTCTAAACATGAGCTTCCTGTTGGCCACCTTGGGGACTAAGTAGGCATTTGTGTGTGCCCAGTTATAATGGCATTGTACTCCTGTCCCTGAACTTTAACATTTATAGCAAGGAGTGGCCTGTAAGACACAGGAAGCAAGATGGACTAGGAAAAAAAATTCCTACATTAAAATCACAAAAAAGAACTGCATTCACACTCACTCAGCAATATGTGACAGTAAATTCAACAGCAAGGATTATTTTCTTATAAAATTTAAAATTGTTTACTGACAATAGCACCTTCTATATGTTATGTGCATTATTACAGGAATTTCTGGGACTTTACCAATACTTAGATTTTCCAATGATAAGGCCATGCCAGCATGAATATCTTCAGTGCTAGGCAGCTTTAAAACCACCCGACTCCCATCAGTTGTCCATCACCAGGATTACACCGAGTTTGCTCACTGCCAAACAATCTTAAGCTAAGTTTTCTCCCGAACTGAGCTCTTCATCCTCCCTTCTCCTTGATGTTAAGATTCATAATTTTTTCAACTTTTTGCCACTGCCTATGATGCCATCCCTCTGGGAACCTACATAAGGAAGAAGGACAGTTTCAGTCTAGCTGATTTGAATTAGCAAGGCCCTGTAACACAATTTAAAAATAATAATAGTTACAGTAAAGAAAATAGCTTACAGAAAATTCTCTCATTCAGCCAACAGTTAAACTAAAACAAAAGCAAAAGCAAATGTCTAATTTTGACTCCCCTCGCTGTAAGAAATTTGTTTCTAGAATGAACTCCATATCATGATTTGCAAATCTACTTTGCATCTGAAAAAAAAAATGCAGTGATACTCCAATTCTTGAATCCTTCTGGTGGTAAACAGTTCAGTTCCCAAGAAAACGTGTTCAGTAAAATTAATTTCAGTTCACAGACTCTGTATCAGCTGACAAATAGCACCAGGCCATCTTTATCGCGCGCACACACACACACACACACACACACCCCCTTGTCCTTGCCAGGGAAGTGCTTTTTCTACTGAGCCATCTCCCCAGTGCCTCCAGGTCTTTTTACAGTGTTTTGTTTCATGCTATTGTTCCAACGCAGCACATTTAATCAGTCAGCTTGGCATTTTACTCATGAAAATGGGGCTAGGAAGATAGCTCAGTGGCTTATGCACCTGCCTGGAAAGCACAAGGTCCTGAGTTCCAACCCTGGTAAAAAAAAAAGCATTACCATGACATTCATTCCCTACTACTACTTTGTTCTGGACTTCTCTTTCTGCTTCTGTCTTTGCTATTCTTTCTGATATAGTTCTCTTTCGTAGGAAATCCATTTTATGTTGATGTTGTTAGTAAATATCTCCTTATTTAATGACCTCTTCAAAACTATAGACAGATGTGGGTTCCTAGAGAAAATGGAATAATTGGAGTTGAAATTTTTCTTGGTATAGTTGAAGTATACCATAGTATAGTTTATTTTATTTTTTATTTTATTTATTTACTCATTTATTTTTTGGTATCAAGGCTTGAAATCAGGGCCTTGCACTTGCCAGGCAAGCATTTATTCTACTGAGCTATCTCCCTGGTCCAGTATAGTTTAATATTAAGGAAATAATGTACACCCAAGGTGACAGTTTGAGCAGAAATACACAAATAAAATGATTAGATAGTGTGGAGAAAGTATAGAAACAAGGGCAAGAAAATAAAGCTCATTTGTACTGAGGAACACTTCTGCTCATTGAAGGGATAAGGAAATCCAATATATTCCCATTGAAACTTGTCAGACATCAAAGAGGGCGGTGATGATGGGGCCAGAGTGCAAAAGAAACTGCCAGTTGTTGGATTCTACTGAGAGACACTTGTGAGGCAGCTGATTCCAGACCTTAAATTACATAGAGTTGAAGCAGAATTTGCATGTTATGTGAGGTCTCAAGTAAACAACTTTCCATATAGATACCTATGAAAATCATCCATTAAGGAGACTAGAACCAGAAAAATAATAGGACCCAGGTATTCATCTCCTGGTGAGTCATGCAAGTTTTTAGTTATCTAGTGTAGAGGCAAAAATATTTATTTGTGCTCATTACACACAGACACACAGACACACAACACACACACACACACACACACACACACAGACAGTGTGTATCTGCTAAGAAGGACGATCATTGGGAGAATCTCTCCCATCCAGTATTTTCTACTGTGCAACTTTTATTTGGTTCAAATTTACTTCATATGTCCATAATTATAGAATGAAACCAGTGAGACAGATTAAGTCACCATATAGACATGGAATTTGAAACTGGGGGCAATCAGGAAAGACAGTCATTAGATTGCTTCATAAATTTGATGTATAAGTGTGTGTCAAAAGTAAAGACAAGGGGCTGGTGAGATGGCTCAGTGGTCTAAAGCACCTACTTGGAGCAGGCTTGGCAAAGCACAGGGACCGCGGTTCAATCCCCCAGCACCACATGCCAGCCAGCCCTGCCCCCTGGTGGGCTGAGCTGGCCATACACACACACACACACACACACACACACACACACACACATTTAAAAAAAAAGTGAAGACAAGCTGTGGTAGATCTGAACACATAAAATTTAGCACCATCAAAAGTGCTAATAAAACTCAGGCCCTAGACATAAAGTGATAGCAAAATACATTAAGAGATGAGTTGTGTGTTTTTAAAAGATAATCCAGTTCTGGATAACATGTGGATTGTGCACATGGATTAAATACTCAGCAGAGAAATAAATAGTAAGTCAGCCTCACAATTTTGTGGGTTAAGCAGATGATTCTAGAGCCCTGAGTTAAGCATAAGGAAGACAGTGCTGACAGTGTGTTGAGGTGAAAAAGACATCAGAGATCCAAACTAATACTAACCCAGCACCATCCAGTAGACTGAGCAGAGGGGATTCCATGACTGGAAAGCTTCTCCTGTCCTAGCATGCCCAGTGTCACTTCAGCTGTTGTCACATCAGCTCAGGACAGGAAATTCTTCCTAAAGAGGAGTGAGCAGGAGAGAAAAGATTGCTGGTTTGCATACAGGAAGATTCTGGAAGTGACATCATAATGATCCTGAGTGGAACAAATCAGAAAACTTAGAATCAAATAGAAGAGGAATGTGTCCTGGGTCTAGAAGAGGTGAGTGCTGACTCTTGCGTGATTCATGCTGCCTACAGTGGTATATGGCATTTCCTTCGCCAGGCTGGTAGTGTTTAACTTCCCTGCTTGAATAATCTCATTAGTTCATTGTTCTGATGAAGCTTGAGGATCTTCTCACTAGCAAAATAAAAGTCAGGATTTTTTTTGAAGTATCCGATCCAATTTTAAGGATTCATGGAACATACCTAGTCTCAAACATGGTGCCTAATTGTATGCTCCAGACCAGGAGCACATTAGTATCTGTATCCTTCACTTGATTTTTCCAAGTGAAGAGTACTGTGTGTGAATATTAATGTGTGTGTTTTTTTAATATTTCATTCCAAAACTCATCAAGCCAGAATCTCCAACACAGTTTATGTCAGTAGCAGATAATCTGTTTTTTACATGACTATGATTTTTTTTTTCATTTTTTCCTTTGCATCACTCAGCTTTCCATTCCCAGACCCATAAACAATATCCACAAAGAAGAAGAGGAAATGTTCCATTTACCTCATGGTTTGGGGGAATTCTGACCTCAATGGGATGTCTCCATGTCAGCACCGTGGTAGCAGAAGGGTATGGTAGAGCAAAGTGGCTCAGTTGGAGAACAGGGTGAGGGGACAACACCAGAGGAGCCAGTGGATAGGGACCATGCTTAGGGTTCCAAATCATGCCTATGTGACCCACTAACACGTCTGGGCTCACAGTCCTCTCAGCTGTGAGGCATCTCTTCACCCAGTGCCTCTTGCTTATCAGGATCCATATTCATACAATATCTATATGACATGGATGGGTACTTTGTCACAAATCTCTTTTAACGTTGCTGTCAGGATTTAACACATGCCAAGCCTAATCCAGCCTGAACTTTGAATGACACTGGGGTATATTGAGAATCTTACCTGCATCAAATAAATATTATTTCTACCTACTGGATCTCACCTATTTCTTTTCCATCTAATAAAGAAGAGTATTATTTCCTAGTAAGGTTGAATTCCTTATACTTTAGTCTATCAAAGGAGGTTCAAAATATTTTATTTGTATTTTGCTTCTGACGCATATGAGAAACAATTATATTTGAATAATAGACCTCTAGCAACCCTAACAGTTCCACCCACTTCAATTCTACTACTACAGTTTGATTTACTGAATGAAGGTATCCATGACAGAGAATAGTAATGAAATTTTAGTGATGTTTCAATGCACTCAAGATTGTCAGAATCAGGTTCCAGGGAGATAGCACAGTAGAATAAGGGGTTGCCTAGCAAGCATAAGGGCCTGAGTTCAATCCCCAGTTCTGCCAAAAAAAATGTTCACAATCAGATGGAGATCCAAGATTCATTTTTGCCTGGAGTTACATATTAAGGACCATGAGACAATATAATACATGTGAATAGTTTTTATGTATTTCTCCAGATCAGCATTCTTTGAAATAGACAATTTCTCTGAAGTAGAAAATGTAATTATTTATATTTTTGTAGCCATCATATATAAGCCCAGATTATTCCTTGAAAACAAGATAAGTTTATTTCCTTGATGACACTATCATTTTAGATACTTACTGTGGGACTATTCAAATGCATACATATATTTTGACAACTGTGTAGTGAGTCTGTGCATCCTCCATCTGGATTCAATAATGACCAGCCTGTGGCACATAGGTCCTTTTCACACCAGTGTCAGACTCTCCCTCAGAAAGATGTAAAAGAAAACTTAATGCATCTCACTGGTCCATAGTATGCGCCAAACCCTAACGCAGTGTCTTTCCCTCCACATTTGCCAGCTCACACTGACATTCCTGTCTCTGTCTTTATTTTTGCTTGTATTTCAGTTGCTATTTTGATAAACTGGCTCAACCAGACAACAGCCCACTAAGTGTCAGTGCTGCATAAAACTAAATCAACGGGAGGAGAAACCGAAGTGGGCCATCTGTGCTCTCACCCTTCATTTAAGAATAGCAGTGAATGAGACCTCAGGACATATGAAGATCACTCTCCTGCTTCTCGGGATGGGGGCATTTTCCTTTCTGTCTACATGGCCTCTGATTGGCCATTGCCAATACCTCAATCCTCCTGAAGTGGTGATACCCTTAAGGATACCTGGCACTTCTACAGAAAAGAAGATTACAGGCTGGGTCTCCTACAGCCTTCACCTTGAGGGCCAGCGACACATTGTCCACATGAAGGCCAAAAAGTTTTTGGTGCACAGACACCTCCCTGTGGTCACCTACACAGACCAGGGCACTGTCCATGAGGACCAACCTTTTATCCCAAGGGATTGCTACTATCATGGCTATGCTGAAGGGGACCCTAAGTCTCTAGTTTCTCTTTGTACCTGTTTTGCTGGTCTGCAAGGATTGCTATATATAAATGACACATTTTATGAAATCAAGCCCAAAAATCTTTCTACTACATTTGAGCATTTGGTATATAAGATGCACCCCAGGGAGGTCCAATCTGAATCTTTCAAGAATGTACCAACAGAAGAAGACACAGGCAATGAATGGCAGATGATGCTTCAGGAGAATAATCATCCTACTTTGAAGCAAAGCACTATTGGAGGGTGGTTTGTGCACCAATTTTGGTATGAAACAGGTTTTGTGGTAGACAGTACACGGTTTGCTTATCTAAGAAGGAATGTTACAGCAGCTAATATGGAAATAATATCAGTTGTTAATATAGTAGATTCCTATTATAAAACACTTGGTGTTGATATAGTAGTCGTTGCAATTGACATATGGACTCACATAGATCCCATTAATAGCACCACAACAAGGGAATTGAAAAATGCATTTTGTACTTGGAAAGTCCAAGAATACAATCCACGGGTACATCATGATGCTGCAGTTCTCGTCTTTAATCGACCTCATGGTGATGAAGTTACTGTTGATGGAAATTGGTGGGGGTTGTGTAAAGCATCTCTATGTTGTACAGTGGTGTATCATAGCAACGATAACCAGCTCCAGTATGCGACAACCATGGCTCGTGGACTTGGTATTCTTACAGGGTTATATAATGACTCGAGGTACTGTACATGTGAACAAGGTCAGTGCATCATGAATACATCACTGGCAATTGCAAATGCATTCAGCAACTGCAGTTTTTCCACCTTTATGTGGGCTACTTGGGTGCAAAGAAATTGTCCCTATAACAGACCTTTAAAAGTATTCCACACAGAGTACTGTGGGAACGGTGTGGTTGACGCTGGAGAGGGTTGTGACTGTGGTACCGTAAAATCATGTGCAGCTGATCCATGTTGTGCAGCAAACTGTCATCTGAAAGCTGGCTCTGGTTGTGCTTCAGGGCTTTGCTGCAAAGACTGCCAAGTCCTGGATCATGGTACAGTTTGTAGAGAACAGGTCAATGAATGTGATCTGCCAGAGTGGTGTAATGGAACTTCACCTGTGTGTCCTGCAGACATGTATGTGGAGGATGGGAAACCTTGCCTGGGCAAGGGCTTCTGCTATGGAGGACAATGTAATAATCATGATTATCAGTGTAAGAAAATATTTGGTCCAGAGGCCAGGAATGCAGATGTGAAGTGTTACAGACTACTCAACCCTGTGGGTAACCGCTTTGGTCACTGTAGTAGAAATCGTCAGACATATGAAAGATGTGCAAGTGGTGATGTTCTTTGTGGCAGAATTTACTGTGAAAATGTGAAAGAACTTCCAGTTCTGAAAGAGCATGAAACTTTTGTTTGGACTCATTTGAATCCTCAGCATTGCTGGAGTATTGAACACCATTTTGGCAAGACTGGACCTGACATCGGTGCAATCCCAGACGGCTCACCGTGTGGTGTTGGAAAATTCTGCAAAAACAGGAGGTGTGTTCTTATACCTCAGTGGAGTAAAAATGCTTGTTCACCTGAAACCTGCCTGGACAGAGGCATCTGCAACAATAGACACCACTGCCATTGCAGCTCTGAGTGGGCTCCACCCCTCTGTCGGAGAGCAGGAAATGGAGGCAGTGTTGATAGTGGTCCACCTCCTAAGAGTAATAGAACTAGGGATTCTGGTTCAAAAGGTGGAAGTTTGTTACTTATTTTAATTGGCATTTTGCTTTTCATCTTGTGTTTACTAATTATACTTTTCATTTTGAACAAAAAAAGAAAGGAAGACCAGCAGACTGAACCACCTCCACCTGTGCCAGGAGAGCCAGGTGCTCCACTTCCACCTGCAGCAGCTGGGCCAGCTGCTCAACCTCCACCTGGGCAAGCAGGGCCAAAGGACAAACGGAAGAAATAATGCATGAAGTTACAATTGTGGAAAATAAATTCACTTCCAGTGAAATTTCCCATGTGTTAATTTTCAGTGTTCTGGCAAAAGCCATATTGTGTTTAACAGGAGCATAACTCATAGGGGTGTGTGTGTGTGTGTGTGTGTG